CCCCTCCCCCCTCCCCACCGCACCTGGTTTACGACACTCGCGGCTTTACGACATCACCTTCCTTACACCTAGAGGCGCTCGCTCTACGGCCGGAACGTTGTTGCTAGGGACGGGACGGTTTGCGGCAACCGTATACGCTGCTGAGTTTGAATCGAGGGGAGAGGGAAAAGTTTTCCTCAGGTGTGGTGGGATGAGGGAGGGGAGCGTTGAGAAACTGTGGGGACCTGGTCAGAAGGGCGACAGGCAGTCGGAGCGGGAAAGGTAAAGTCGGAGGCTCAGCGGCGTTCTGTCTCTGAACTGGCCACACCCGCCGCAGCTGCCTGGGGCACCCTCGGGTCCGGCTCATTCTCCTCTGGACCTAGTGCTCTCAGAGCAGCGCCGCGGAGCATCCCAAGCAAGCAGCCCTCCCTCTTCCTGAAGGTTGGGCTCCGCTCCCACGCCTCGCTTGTCCGCTCCGCGCACCCCGGGGCCAGAGGGAGAGGGGTCGTGCTCTGGGCTACCCGGGGAGTTCCCATGATTTGAGGAAGGGCAGGTTCGGGGAACAGTGAGGAACTGATTCGGGAAGTTCGACCTTTGACGGAGAGGACAGGCGGCGTCACGAGTGAGACTACCTGACCCGCTCAGTCGTGTCTCCCTTCCCTTAAACGGACCATGGTTTTCCCCCAAGCGAACCAGAGTGGGAAATGACTTCAATTAGATCGAACTTCAGCTGGACCGAAAGAGAGGCAAGAAGTTCCGCTTACGAGCAACCTCGGCAGTAAAGCTCGATGAGTAATACCCATATTGTGCCTGTCTCACTTCCTCATCCGCAGCCTCTCACCTGCTGTCACCTCGGCCTCCCCCGCCCAGCCGCCCTGCTCTCCGCCCTGCTCCCCGCCGGAGTCGTAGGCGTCAAGACTTAGAGTTAAGGTATTAACAGTCCATGATTTACTACCTAAAGGGGCAGTCATCGCTGTACAGGACCTTAAGGCAAGAAACGACGCTGACAAATGTGGTCTCTGAGACTGACGGATTGCTGATTTTACCTTAAGCCCTTGACTTTGTACAAGTTTGGGGATTTCTGAAAAACTATGAAGATAACACCACACATACCAAGAAAGTCGTCTTCAGTATTAAGTAGGATTTGGGTTTAGCTTTCTCTTCCTGCTCCCGCAACCTTCAAATGAGGAAATGTCTTTGGGAACAACTTTATGCAATAAATGAGCTTAACTGTATTTCCAATAATGTACTTATAAATTAATAATGTGTGAGTTATCGGTAGAGAAATTGAGAAAACTGAAATGTGAAACGTAACATATTCGAGTATTAGAAATGGTATAATAAATCACCTAACAGTGCTGGCACATAGTAGGTGCTCAATAAATTTATGCTTATAATTTTTGCTATATCTATGGCAGAATTTTTATTATGCTAAAGTTATTTTTTAAACACCTTCCAGAATTTTTTAATAATCTTCCAGATTCATTAATAATCTCTTCAAACTTTACAACTGAAATAAATTTGCAACTAAAGTCTGGTAATTTAAAATTAGAAAGTTTAACCTCGAATATAGATTAAAAGTTTCTCTCCCACATTTGTTCGGCATTTTGAGAAGTAAATGTATTATTTATCAGTGCATTAAATGTGACAGTAAATATTCTTTGCTATACCTATGTTTGTATATCTACACTCATCCTGAACACCAAAACTAGGATCATTATTCTTAATGATCATTTTAAGTACAGGTGGTCCTTCCTTTCCTCAATACAATGTTAACTAAACTTGCACATGTCAAAAGTGTCCTTCCTTTGCTTGATTCAGTGGTGATTTTTTCCTCCCCTTTTAAGGGCTGTATAATGTTCTTCAGTTGCCTTCTGAATCAGGTCATAGACTTTATCTTTTGCCAGCAATTACCTCTGCCCCACCTTTTTTAAAGCTACCCTAATTTCCAGGCAGAAAGGAAAAAAAAAAAAAAAAAAAAATTCTAACTCTAGCAAACAGTTTGCCTACCCATGAACTTAGGAAGTATTATTACACATGGTATTTTCTCTTTCTGGCTTGTATCCCCCACAAACCTTCCTTCAGTATATCTCCTCACCTTGAAATCATAAACAGACAAAGTGAAGGGACAAACTGAGAAGTACAAGTCATCTTCTCCCTTACTTTAGTGGTTACTGGGCTAGTTAGCTTGGGTCAGACTTAACTGTGTATACTGGTACCTTTTAAGGTAACTTTTTTTTCAGTACCATGTTCTATCCAACTGAGCAGCATTGCTGGTTTTCAGTAATTGTAGTGCCGTCATACACATTCAGTATGTACTCCTATTTTTAATGTCAATAGCACTGCCTCTACTGAGCACTGGGATTGTATATGCTGAAGGAGAGGTATTCTAAAAATGAATTACTGTAATCTTTTCCAAAGTTACAGGGAAAAGTGTAAATGGGCAGTATATTTTCAATATTGAGCTTTTTATATAATTTTTTCATAACTCCTTTGTACCTGCTATTTGCCCCCCATATGATTCATGTATAAATTGGGATAAAATTTGACATAAAATTATTTTAAGTTTAAAATGTAGCTATTTCATGGTGTTCTGCATCAAGTATATTGATCTTCCCAAACACATTTGAGAAGTGATACTATGTTATTCCCTAATCTTCATAAAAATTAAAAATTGGTTAATTTCATGGAAGGATAGCATGTTGGTGCTACTCCTCAATTCAATACCTAATTTTAAACTTAGAGCTTTGAAGGAAAAAGAACAAATGTGATACATGTTAACCACTCAGAGTACAGAATTAAGAGGTCCCCTAAACCTACTCTTCAATCCATGGCTCAGTAGTGACTCTAGATTTGTGGTTCACAATGGGACGAAAGAGGGCAATAGTCATTTCTCTGCTGCAGTTTCACCAAATTCTACAATCACTGAGTCAGGAAGGAAACATGACTATAGGGTGATGCAGAACCAACACTTGTCCTCAGGACCCACACCAGCTTTTGTTATAAAGCCTCCCAAGAGGTGATAAAAGGGACAAATGTTTTCTTATACCTCGATATGATTTTATTACATATCGTACCACAAAATGGCTTTTCTTCCTCTGGGGAATAAGGCTCTTGTTTTTAATATAAGTAAATGAAATGTTAACACATCTAGCTTCTTATTTGGGAGCAACTTTCTTGAAACATGTCTAATAGTGATATTATCTATGTAGAGAGAGATGTTTGCAGGATTTTTGTGAACATTCAAAAAGTAAAACTAATCTTTCCCATAAAATCACAAGAGTAAAAATGGATTGTTTTAAAGGGCTGCCTCCACAGAAGATATAGTATCTATTATTATTACTTATGAACATGAATAACATTTAGGTTTTTTTTTATACTTGGAACTATAGTAAGATAATTTGTTCTAGAGAGGGAGCAGCATGCATATTTTAGATTTGAATGAATTTTGAGTATTTACCATGATATCAGGTGTCTGATATCTGGTTTCTACTGAAGTTTTTTCTCTTTTGTCTACATGTATTTGTTTTCTCTGGCATCTTGACTTATTTTAGCAGCTGAGTGGTTCTGTTACAGAGTGCGGCTGTTTCTTTGACCTACAGTCCTGGCCTTCTGTAATCCACAGATCCTCAGTTACAATCACTGCCACTGTTCAATCTTTAGAGTATTTAAAATATTTGCAGTCAGTGATAGGTTTTAGCTATTCCACCATTGTGTTAAACTCACATGAAAAAATTAGTGATAAGAAATACCCTATGTTCAATTATATCCACAACTTTAGGATCCCTGGTCAGACCCCTTTCATTCTCTTCAGACCTCATGCCTCTATTTCTTTGCTCACTCTCTTTATCCCACTTATGATGAGACACTGTGACTCTCCCCACTGTTTTACTTTTTAATAATTCATTTCCTCTATATTTCTTTGTTCCAGCTCTGTTTGGATCATTTCTCTTCCTCTTTTTGTTCAAGATTTTTTGAACCATTCCAACTCCGTAAAATGCTTTGCTTTTTCATATTATACTTGTTATTCTCTATCCCTCAAAGTCCATTCTCTGCTTTTCCACACTCTGAGAGGCTGACTTCTGTAGACCACTTCACCCAGGCTGCTTTGCCCTCTGGTTTCTATTTGGTTTCAGCCAATTTGGAGGCATTGGCAAATGACCAGAGGAAGGAAAGACTGGTCAGGATATTTATTCCACACTCCCTCCTGCCTGGCTGTAGCTGTAGCTTTCGTTCCTCTACCTTAAGGCCCATGGCTTCTGCCAGACACCCCTGTCCCATGACTCCAGGTCTTGCCAAGTTCCAGAATATGCTTCTTCCCTTTGTGCTGTCAGGCCTAGGGATGGTAATCATTGGATGCTTTATCATTCCTTCCCTTAAAACCTGCCCACACCTCTATAAATATTCTCTTCACTAAACTCTCTTCAGTTTACCCATTGAGTGTGCCATCTGCTTCCTGCCAGGCCCCTGAGTAATACACATATAGAAATAAAAAAAGTATTTTTTAACCTTATTTCTTATCAACCAAGAATTTTTCTGTTTCCACTAATTATAACAGTAAAGTTTGAATGTGATGTAAATGTCTTATGTCATTTGCTGAACAAGTATATACTCATATTTTGATGTGTGTACATGCAAAATCTGGCAAATACTACAGCATACTAATTATTCCATAATATTCCATAACTACTTGTGGAATGAAGGCTTCTGCCCTAAATGATCTAAAATCTAGGTGAAACTACTTTTATATACTTAAAAAATTGAAAGAAATTACTCTTTCCCTTCTTGTCTGTACCTAGGTGCTACTATGCTACTCTGTTCTGGCCAATGAGATGTAAGTGGAAGTGCTATGTGCAGCATTGAGGACGTTCTTCAAAAAGAGATGATTCACTATTCTTTCCCTTCTTCCTGTTGGTTGAAATCATATCTGCTGGCTAGAGCTCCTTCAGAAAGGCAAAGCAACAAGACTAAAGGAGCCCAAGTCCTTGACACTGTGGAATACCATAACCAGCTCTGGACTTCCTACCTCAAGATCTCTTTTACAAAGACAGAAGTAAACTTATGTCTTGTTTAAGCCACCATTATCTTAGGTTTTCTGTCATATGCAGCCAAAGTTAATCCTGTTCATTGTGGTGAGTATGAGTATTAGTTTCCTATTGCTGCTGTAAAAACTTACCACAAACTTAGTGGATTAAAGCAACATAAATTTATTATAATTCTGAAAATCAGAAATTCAAAATGGGTCTCATACGGTTAAAGTCAAGGTTTTGGCAGGACTGGGGTCCTTCAGAAGACTCTAGGGGAGAATTCATTTCTTTGACTTTTCCAGTTTCTGGAGGCTGCTCACATTCCTTGGCCCTTGAGCCTTTTCCTCCATCTTCAAAGCCAGAAACATCTGGCAGAGTCTGTTTCATACTGCCAGATCACTGATTCTCTCTGCCTTCCTCTTCTTATAAGGGCCTTTGTGATTAAATTGGGCCAACCCAGATAATTCAGGATATCTCCCCACCTCAAGGTCAGCTAATTAGCAAGCTTAATTCCACCTGCAACCTTAATTCTTTGCCATATAACCTGACATACTTACAGCTTTTGGAGATTAGAATGAGTACATCTTTAGGGGCCACTATTCTGCCCCTATACATGTTAAAACAGTATACATGTTTTGAGTTCCATGATTGAGAAATACATTTTTATTTGTCGATTTGTTGAACTTTAATGTATATGCAGCTTTATAGCATAATGCAAACTGGTCATTACTCTTTATATGAGGGTACCCCAAAAAGTTCATGGAAAGATTCTTATTATCTTTTAATTCTATTTTTTCCACAGACCCTTTGAATAACAGAAGTACCCTTGAATAACAGCATTGTGTCATGTAGAAGTTTTAATAATTATTCATTGGTTCACTTATTTAAGTAATATTGAGCATGTTCTTTTTGACAGACACAGCAGGGTACTATAAATGCCTAATGAAGTCCCTGACCTCAAGAAGCTTACAGGTTTGTGGGAGAAACAGATTTACAAAAAGGCTGTTATACAAATGGTCAAGGAGGTGCTGTGTACATTAGAGAGAGTAACCCAGAGTCAAGGAAGCCTGTCATGGAGAAGTGATATAATTTGTCAGGAGAAGAATGAGGAGAAAGAGTACTAAAGGCAGAAGTCATGGTGTTTGCAAAACCCTTAAGAAAAAATTATAGTGCTTTTGGGGTACAAATCCAATAGAATTAATTCAGTGAATAAAAGGTGAACATAGTCTCAGATGAGGCTACAGAGGGTAGGTAAGCAGGAGACAGGTCATATGAAGGTGCTAGGAATTTGGAACATTATATGAAACGCAACTAGGCCATGAAAGGATTTTAAGTTAAGGGTGTCCACGTTATACAAGATGTTAATTAACATTCTACAGGGAAAAGAAAAAGTGAGCAGGACAGCATTAAGCAAACTTTAAATTATTTTTCTTTTGAATAATCTGAGAAGGAATCATTCAGCAAGGAAAAGCAACGCAAATATAAGATGAGTCTATCCAAATGAAGCACGAATGAAGAATATCGTTTTTAGATTATATTAAAAAATAAAGTCATACTGCTGTTAAACATTAAGCAATATACTCATAAAGCATAATTGATATTTCCCATATTTACAATATTAATAAAATTATTCCGAGGTTATATGTTCTTACAGTGATCTTTCTAGCTCCTATACTGTCTCGATACATGGCAGACCATCAAAATTACATGATGCATGAATAATTATAAAAAAAGAGTACCCAGTGTATCCCTTAATACAAGAGGCCTTCAAAAAGTTTATGGTAAGATTATCTTTCAATTCCATTTTTTCACAAACTTTCGAAGTACCCTCGTACTTGCTCTTTCTTTCACTATTATGTTTACTGCAGCCTAAACACTCAAAAACTAACATCCTACTCATTCAGATTCTGCTTTCTTCTAAATTACCTTACATATATTCAAGAAGGCAAATTAGTTCTCTTTCCTTGGATTTCAGATTATCTCAGCACTTCTCCAGGTGTATCAGAATTCTTAGGAATTAGACAACGAGCCCCAAATTGCTTGTAATTCCCTCACATACCTCAGAGTACTTTGTACATACCACTGTTGTAGCATTTATCACTTTTACTATATTTTTGTACATCTTTCTCCTCTCGTAGTCTGAGCTTTTTATCTTTGTATTTCTGATACTGAAAGCAATGCCTGTCTAATGGGAAGTACACTTAAGTAATTATGGAAAAGAGAAAAAGTACTTGTCATTGTGAAAGATTCTGGCACAGGGATTTTGTGAAGAGCAAATGGGATAGCATATATGAAGTGTTTTGCATGGTATCTGGCACATGGTAAACAGTAAATGAAAGCTAGCAAAAGCAACAAAAGCAAATTCTTAGGCAAAGATCAGAGTCAGATATTAAGAGAATAATCCACTAGAATTCCTACACACTGCCTTTCTGTTCAAGGTTAAAAGATAATTTTTATCCCTGAATATACCACTTCAATCATAGGTGGAATGATTCTAACTAAAGAGCAAAAAGAAGGATGATATTAACATGTTTGTTTAGCATTAGTAGGAATATTATATTGTCTAGAAATACTGTTGCTTTATATTAGCTGTATTATTAAAGGAACTGTCTACACAATATACTTCTACAGTAAATAACACCATTTGCAATGCAATTAGATGACATGTGGCACTTGCTATGCTTATACAGATTCTTTTTAAAAATACAAGTTAAAGATTATGAAAGAAACATAAAAATTGTCTTAGTTTTGTTTCTTGATTTGCATGTAACAGACACCAATTCAAACTGGTCCACACAAAAAGATAGGAATTTAAGGATTTAAGGTTGTTGTTTTTTTTTCCTGCCAGTGAAGCCACGTCTCACAAGTGAAGAATAGGAACCTGTAGATATGCAGGCAGCACCTCTCCATCTCTCTCTGCTTCTGTTTCATTTTCTCTCAGGGGCCTACTGCTGTGCATGAAGGTGGTATGGACCCAGAAGAGGTTTGAGGAGATACTTAAATATGCATCTACTATAACAGCATTATGCAATACTTGGAGTAAAAACAATTATCCCTATTCTGACTTCCAATTTTATTATTCATAAGTATTGTATCTTAAATACTTTTTCACATGCATAGTGTATATAATTACAATAATATCTAGTTTTTGCCATATACATGAAAACTACATACAATTTAGTATTATGCCGTTTTCTCTTGACATATCACACACGGTTCCCTATATCGGTACATAAGTTTTCTATTTTTCCTTTTTACTTGACTGTAATGTTCCTTAAATTGATATACTATATTTTACTAAGGAAGTTACATATTGTTTAATATTTGAATTACTTCCCATTTTTTGTTTTGTAAAGAATAAATACTGTTATCATATAGCTTTTGTTTTTGTTTGTTTTTTAATCATTTCCTGGGAAATATTCTTAAAACTAGAATTACTGAGTCAATGGGAATGAACATAGTTGTGTCTTTTGAAATGTATCGTCAGCTTACTTTTGAAAGGGATTGCACCAGTGTGTGATGCCACTAGAAGTATATGTGAATTTGTCTCACCATGATTAAACATTTTTCAAAATTGTTAGCTTATTCATACTGACGGAAACACACTACTTACTCAATGTTTTAGAATATGTACATAGAAAAAAATACTTAAATGTGTACTAATCCATAATATAATAACATGCTTGTACCTAATAAATATGTGATAAATTCCATTCTGGATTAAATGAATGATGATTTCAGTTCTGCATGTCGAGACTTAGTCAAGTTTTTTATGTTAAATTCACCCTGATATAGTTATGAAAAATTCTTGCTTTTTATTTCTGAAGGTTTTTGTAAGACTGGCTTTGGTTTTATGACCAGTTTTGTCTCTAAATTTACCTGCCTAGACTTTGACCAAAATGTGATTAAATCCAATTGCATTTGGCCAAAGTCTAGGCAGATAATTTTTCTCTCTAGGTTGCTTTATAAGGTCTTCCTACAGATTATTAAAAATGCCAACAAGGAGCCAAATTATTTTATTCCTAGCTCTGATACTGTTTTATATTGTTGCTGTGTAGGTTTAGGTAATTATGTTGTTTTACATTTATTAACCATATTTTAGTTATAGGTAAAGTCATTGCTAGTGAAACTAGTATGTAAAGCATACACATTTGGAATCAACATTATTCAACATGTTTTGCTGTTACTTACAACTAACAACTTAGTGTTGTAAATATTAGAATTTAGTAGAATATTAGTAGAATTTAGTCATTTTCTGCACAATGAATTATTACTGTTGTTAAATAAGTATCTTCTCTCTTTAGTACCTCAACTTATTTCCTGAATTTGCCCATTTGATATTGTGCTTTTGCTTGATAATGTCACCAGTAAATATCTGTGTTACATTTAAAAAATAATGTCATAAAAATATGGAAGATTTTCTGGCAAATATTTTCATTAGCTAACTGGTGAAAATTAGTTAATGCCAAATAGTAATATATGAATACATAAAACATCAAATGTTTAGCATAAACATTATACACGCCAGAAATTGTTAGTAGAAGAAATTACTCAGGTATTATATGCTAAAAGAAAAAGACTCAAAACATTGACTCTATGGGAAATAAAACTAGTCTCTTGAGCTTACCAAATAAATTTATTATAGTTCTTCCCTGTTTTATTTTCTGTGTCTGTCAAAGTCATAGTAAATTCAGAAAACATATAGCTTGAATTCTGTTTATCTTTTTCTTATTATCTACTGTACTTACAGTTTTGGTTTCCCTTGAACTCACTTTCTCCAGACCTTGTATACATTATAAAACCAACCGCTAAGGTCCACTTTTGGAGGTTAATGTTAGTTTTAAAGAATGTTCTTGTTGCATCTGCTTCCATTTCATTGCTAATCAATACAGAACTGACCAAAAGGCTACCAACCAGATAAAAGCTTTCGATGCAAAGAATTTGACAACCCATCAGCTGGAAAACTATTCTCTGAATAATTCAAAATTGATTGAAGCCTTTTCCCCATATATATATTCTCTATTTCCATTCATTTTTGCATTTCTCCTTTGTATAGCCTTGGAATACATCGATTAGTGATGTAGCAGCAAAAGACATCATGGTACCAAATAGGAAATAACGGCTGGGAAGGTGCTTTGGACCTCTTACTTTCCAGGCCACTTGATAGCAGATACAGTTCATTACACAAGAAAATTGCTTGATCTTGGGAAAAGAGGGTGCTGGAGGTGAGGGAAAATGAGTTAGTCACCAGTACAGTTCACCTTGCAGTTCAGTCATTTAGATCTAACTGGAGAATGACTGCTGCCGTGTTCCAGATAAAGAATGAAAGCTTCTTTCCACAATAAGATGGTGAATTCTGTATCTCCTGTGTTTAGATTCTAGAAAGAAAAAAGATGTAAAAGGAAGAAAGGAAGTTCCCCCCCACCCTCACCCCTCCCCATCTGCCCTTTATTCTTCATAACTACAAATCTCATGTTTAAATTCTTGTCCTTGACGAACATAAAAATCATACCCAGGACTCTGCTAGAACAATATTCTAAAGCATAAAGAAAATGTAAATATTCAGAAAACAACATGAGTGGAAGTATCTTAGTGAATATTTTATGTTTAATATTTCTATAAATGTGCTTATACAAAATTTTGAATTATGTAATTCTTTCTATACTCCTTCTGTAGTTGGGCAGTCCCATGAACACAAAACATTTCTCCCAGCTCCAATGTTTCACTTGCCAGGAAGATCTTTTTTGCCCCACCCTTTATCTCTCCCCATCTGCCCTTTATTCCTTATTGATTCTCTGGTCTCTGATCACCTACCCCAAGCTTTTGTCCTATTTATTTCACAATTTTTCTGTGCCTTATTTCTCATGCTATATTACAAACACAGTTTTGACAGAGACTATGACTAATAACTCCTATTATAGTGACGAACATATCTGAAAAATGTACTTTTAAAAATATATATACCATTGATGTACCATCTATGGCTGGTATAGGAAGAGGGTCCTGATTAGAAGCTGATGTAGAAAGAAATCACAGTTTGTCTCAGAGCAGTTAATAACCTGAACCTAACCCAACAGGAAGCACAAAGACTGAAAAAGTGGCCGCCCTTTTTAAATGAGCTACCAGGAATTAACCATCACATTTTAATATCATTGCATATGGTATTAATGCAAGTATATTTTAAATCTGAGTTCTGTGACCCAAGGAAGAAAAGATAGATTTGTAGAGTAAGCATCTTTAACCTGACTAGACAAAATTATAAAAGGAAATAGCAGTCAGAAGTTAATTGATATCCACCATCCCAAACAACTTAAATTCTAAATAGAATTTAGTAGCTCTGGAATAGAAAGGGATCTAGATTGTTCATTGTTGGGGAAATAGAATAATTTAATCAGGCCCCTCACCTTAGGTTCAGTTTGGGGGGGGGGGTGCAGTGCATTCTTTGTAAGCAGGTTGTGTGTGGGTGGAGTTAGTGCGCATGCAAAGCACCACCACCCAGCTGGTGTTTTACTGCCTTGGGTGGCCATCCCGCACAGCTATGCTCTCGAACCTACAGCTCCAAGGACCATTTTGCCAGTGCGTGTGAAGGGTTTGTGACCCAGTCTGGACAACAGGCTTGAGGGGTCTGTGAGCTCCAGACCCTGCCCTAGCTTGACAATTGGCATAGTCACAGCAGGATTCTGGGAAGGTATAGAAGCCAAAAGCCCTTGGAAGAAGGAGGAAATGTGGCTACTTTTGAATATGCTCTGCCCTATGGCCACCCTCCTGTTGACCAGGATCTGGTTGCTTCACACTGTATTGCAAGGCAGCATAGACCAGGCACTATGGCAGAAAACCCCTTGGGAGGAAGAGGAAATGTGGCTGTCCTTGAGCATGTGGTGCCTGGTGGCCACTTTTCTGCTGACTGGAGCCTGGCTGCTGCTCACTATGCTGCAAACTGATCAAGATTTGAAGAAGAAAGCAGAGTTGTTGGAAGTGCGGATTATTATCCTGGATGACGATGTGCAGCAACTGGCCACTCCTGCCTCTCACACCAGAGAAGACGACCAACCCAGTGGTGAGTTGGGGGAAACTGTGCATCTCCAGGTATGAACTGTTGTGCATGAGAAAATGAGATACGAACAGCCTATGGGATCAGATGGACAACAAGTGAGTGATCCACAGGTGACCCAGTTCATCACCTATGTCCTGTATACCCAGGTTGAACTTGTTGACTTGAGGAGACAGTTCAGGCAGAAACATGGGGAGACCCTGACTGCTTTGCTGTTGTGGTTATGGGACCTAGGGGTGGATAGTGTGATGTGCTCTGGTGAGGAAGTGGAGAAATTGGCCTCCATTACCATACACCCATCCCTGAGGCAGCAGCTGCAGAATAGCTGCAGATATGTACAAGGGCGAGGTAATCACTCCTTGATGGACTGGGTGAATGCAGCTGCCTGAACCATGTGGGCAAATGCTGGAGAACTGCCCAAGATTGTTAGTAAATGGCAAACATATGCTGAACTGATCCAAATCATTCGAGAGCTGGGGATGTGGCAGCCCATGTTTAATGTGAACACTCGTAGCCCGGATGATGAAAATTTTACAGGCAGCATGAGAGACACAGTGCTGCAAAATACCCTGTCAATATCCTTTGGGTCACTGATGGCCATACTGGACCCATACATTGGTTGTCTTATACATGAGGTAACAACCATGATAGCTGGCTTGGGTGAAGTAGGGGTTAGCAGACAAGCAAAAGGGGTCCGAAAGGTGGCTAAGACCAAACCCCCAAGAAATGCTTGGGATTTTATCCCAAAGGGACCAAGCAAGACTAGCTGTAAGCAGATGTGGCTTGACTCACTTGCAGCAGGGGTTGATAAAAAGAAAATTGACCCACAGTCAAATGCAGTCCTGTTTGCCTTGTGGCAGCAATTGTGCCCTGAACAGCATTTCACCAAATGTCTGGAAACAGGTAGCAAGGTACACTCAGTGGATTTAAAGGACTTTTTGGTTGCTCCCAAGGAGGTGGATGAACCATTCCATTTTGACTAGGGAGAGACAAAGGTACTCATCTTTTGGAGTCAGGTGAGGACCAGAGGCCTCATGTTGAATTGGCAATACATTGGTCGAGGACAAATGTGCAGTGTGTTTTGGCATTGGTGGATATAGGTGCAGAATGTAGCCTGATTTATGGCAATCCAGATAAGTTTCCAGGGGCCACAGTTTATATAGAGGGCTATGGAGGAAATACTACTGAGGTCAAAGCTGTGTCATTGCCATTGGACATAGGAAGTTTACTTCCTCATGTATATACTGTATATATATCTCCCATAGCTGAATATATCTTGGGTATGGAATTACTTTATGGTTTGCACCTGCAAACAACAGTTGGAGAGTTTCGGCTGTGAATACAGAAAGTTAAGCTTGTGTTGTGAGGATATGCTAAACAGGACCCACAGGTGTTACCCAAGCCAAGATGTGTAGTTCATGTAAAGCAGTATCGCCTACTGGGAGGACATGCAGAGATAAGTGCCACTATACTGAAGTTAGAGAAAGTTGGCATTATTTGTCCGGCTCATAGACCATTTAATGCTCTGGTATGGCCAGTGAAAAAGCCTGATGGTACCTGGAGAACGACTGTAGGTTGTCAAGAACTGAATAAAGTAGTGCCTCCTTTGCATGAAGCTGTGTCTTCAGTTCATGACTTGATGGATCAGCTGATGACTCAGCA